TAAGCAGATGGATGGGCTCGGGAGCATCCTCCAGAGAGGGTCTGTCTCCTTTGGCCTAGGGGGAAAGGATAGTATGTTTCTATGTGATGACGGTCCTTTCATACTGCAAAAACTTGGATTTTGGTAGAGAGGTTCTGTGTGCATTTGCAGTGATGCCCTGGTGACATGCATGCCTATAGAAACACTGAGCTGGGTGGAGTTGATTTTCTTGCAGCGCTGTATTTATATTTCTCTGAGACCCAAAGGTGACTACACATTTTCCCTGAAAACTATCGATGGACTATCCATGTTTTTCAGCCCAGAAACTGGAACTGTAAAAGACCTAGAGGCCCAGGAATGTTGGGCATTTTTCCTGGTTTTCTAGCTCACCCTTTTGCACTGGTCCTATTAGTAATGGGTAGGGTATGTTCTCCTCAGTAGTACGGAGCTGAGGTGGCAAAGCCAGGTAAACACACAGCAGTTCTTCAGAAGGGTGTAAGAGCTTATCTTAGGAGACAGGGGATGGCAAGGGACTTGCCTGCACTGAGTTTGCAAAATCAAGAAGCTTGTACTTCACAAAGCCTAGATACTCGTTTGTTTGTTTGTGGTGCTTGTGTGTAATTAATATCTGTTCCTTCTAGATTTGAAGGAAAGGATCTAAGTGAATGTGTAATTTGGCTATCCTCAAACAAGAGAGAAGTCCACCTCTTTCTTTGGCCATAGCTTAAAGAGAGCAGGGCATTGCTGGGGGTCAATTGTATCGATAATATTGGTGAGATCAAAGTATGACAGTTGCAGGTGAGGATAGGGTATGAGCAAGGGCTGGAGAATGTCAACCAACGGCTCTTCCGCTCCTTAAAAGTCTCCTTTTGAACATTTTCTCTTTCCAAACCTTGAAGGACTCCCTGTTTGTTTTGTGATACGGGAGGCCATTCCCTTCTTCTGTGGAATATATGCCCTGAGCTATCCTGCTCCAGGGACAAACGGACACAGGGTTGGAGGTTTGTGTTCCCAGGAACCCCGCTTCCTATGTTTTCCTTTTTCTTTTCAAAAAATGCAAACCAAATCAACTCTTCCTGTTTCTGGGTTTGGGATGTGGAAGGTCACACAGCGGGAACCTCCAGCAAACAGTTCAGACAGGGACTCGGAAAGCTGGCCCTGGGCTGTCCTGCACTAGCGGGGAGGGCTGTCTGAATGGCTTCAGATGCGTGAGAAGACATGGATGATGAGAAACAGCATTCAGGTTGTGGCAAGGGTCAAGTCTGCTTCTGACACTGGTTTGTCCTGCTTTTCCACAGCAGACCAAAGCCTGGCCACCATGGAGTAATCAACAGCATAGTGCTTGGTCTCCCTGTGCACTAGGAGGCTAGCTGAGGAGGTCAGAGGACTGTGGGAAATGATCATAGAGTCAAGGCTATTTAGTCCAGGAAAGAACAGGGTCTGAGGAGAACACCGTGGAATAGTAGGTGTTTGTCTCTATTTCGTCACTCACCTCGCTAGCTACATGTTCCTCCTCACTTACTTATGCTGGCTTTTAAGTTCCCAACGTCAATGAGCACATTGGTCTACGCAGCAACTAGGTCCCCTCTACCCCAAACGCCAGAAAAGTGTAAATACCGACAGTCACAGGGAAGATGGAACATACTGCTCTCATGAAACTCCAAAGGATGCAAATAGGATGAGTAAGTAGACGTTGGTTTGCACCCAATCCAGACTCAATAACATTCAATGGGCCAAGTAGCAGGTAATTGAAAACTTAACACTAAAAAGGCAGAGGCATATGGATTACTGCAAGCGTGAGCCCTCCTGAACTACATGGTTAGACTCTGTCTAAAACCAGCCCAGGAGAAGGAGGAGAAAAAGGAGGAGGAAGACTTTAAACTGATTAAGATATGACAAAGGTTCACCATACCTAGAAGGTTTGATCAGAGCCCAAGTGGACAGATAGGAGAAATGGTATAAAAATGGAGCCAGCTAGTGCCTGAATACAAGGTTCAGCTATACTCCCTAACATGTGTTTTTATGTGGAAAACTCAAGACTCCAAACTATATCTTCAGGAGACCACCCCCCCCCAATTTGTAAAGCTAGAACTAACTGAATGAAGAAGGTAGGAGATATTTCTCAACTCTGTCCTCTCGCCTGGCTCCCAAGGACTCTCTGGGGATTCTAGGACTCCTCAGTACTTGCTGTGAGATGCATTCATTAACATGGCTCTTACTGACTCTTCCTATCCTGAGATGTAGGGCAAGCTCCAGGTTCTAATGGTTTAGTGGGAACATGTGCTACATGGATCTGCACCGTTGACTGAAGCTTTTGCGCCCCCAAAGCTATATCATCTGAATCCAGTGGGGCTTTCTGTTAATTTGTAATAGCTAATTCAGATAAAATGATAGGGAAGAAGGTATAAAAATTCACCAATTCTATTGCCAGAAGTTCTTTGGCTAAACTATCAAACAAACAAACAAAAAAAAAAACAGTTCCTGAAAGATTCACTGTTTATGTGAAGTCCAGGGCTTAGATCTGGAATACAGAGGTCAGACACGTGGACAATATACAAGAGTTTGATGGTCTGTTGGAGAGAGGAGAGAAGAAGACAGTATCAGATAAGGTAATGCGTTGTAATGGAAACACAGGCAAGATGGAAATGCTATCTAGATGGTGGCTTGACGAACTGGCAAAGCTAAGGATAGAGTTCAGTGGAAGAGAACTTGCCTAACATATGTAGCCAAGGGTTTGATTCTTGGCACTATAAATAAAAGTCAGAGGAGGTATGGGAAAGTTGTACTAGTGCAAAAAGCTTGGCGGTGGAGAGAGCGTTCATTAAACAGTAGAATCCATCCATGCCTGAGTTCCTGTAGGTGCAGATGGAGGGTTGTGATAGTGCGGGTGGCAAAGAAGGGGCAGATTTAGGAAATACTGCAAAGCGATCTCTTGTGTATGACTTGGTGGCTGAATGGCAGCATGTAAGAAGGATGAGGGAGCCCGTGGTTCTTGCTTGAGTGTCTGAGTGCATTAACAAAGAAAGGGAATCCCGGATGACGGGGTCTCCTGAGGAATGATGAAAACCTGTGATCTCTGGTGGTGAGTTTGAAGGAAACACAGGCCCTTCTGTGACTGTGCTAAAAGCACCTTCCAGATCCTTCTTAGACTAGCACTCTACCTGCAGTTCCGACTCCTCTCTGTCCTCTAACATCTGGATTGGCTTGGGCTATGAAAACGGGCAGGTATCTACTGTGTCTCAGTGTGTTCATCTGACCTGCACCTACAAGGCTAAGATGAACTTCATTTCACACTCTTGACCACAGGAACGAGGAGGTGAGGCTTCATAGCACCTTTGCCCTCAAAGAAAGAATTTCAGGTTCTCCACAGCCCTGGAAAGCCTTACCATCTCCCCCTCTTTAAAATCTTCAAATTGTCCGTTCTATCAATCCTACTACCATTCAGTTTGACTCCTGGCATGGTGTAGGACAGTATGGAGGTGGGACATACGAGACAACACAGAGTCAAAAACGCAGGAGACCATGGTCACTTTTTGGTTCAAACTTCTCATTGATCAGATAATGAAACCAAGGTCCAGTAAAAGCAATGCTCTCTCTGTCAGAGAAGGAGTTAATGTCAGTGTTGGGACTAGATGCTAGGTCCCTCAGCTCAAAGCCAGCTTCTGCCTTGGCTGAAAGCCAGTGTTTCTGCCTGTAGATTATGGCTGAAAGATTTCCTGTCCCAAATGATAATCCCTTCCAGATACCCCTACAACTAAGGAGATGTTTATGATCTTCCAAGTTGCTGAAGAAAAATATCTGTCAAATGATAAACAAGTCATGCTCCGCCAATCTTCTTTGCAAAATACCAAACAAGGAGTGACTGAGTCTATCAAAAATCAGCTCTAAGGATGATTTAGTCCTTTTCAAATGAAGGAAGTGGCCTGAGTTGTGATGACAACAATGATGGTTTTCATACGCTTGGCATTTTAGTCTCCTGCCCCTTCTGAATTTGGGAGGTGACACCCAATAGCATCTTGAATTTATGTATTTAAGTGGACAGATCTGTTTCTATTTTCAACCTTTTACATAGGCCATCCTACCGCTCAGAATTGGAGGGAGGGTACTGGACAGCTGATAGGCAAAGTCCAGCGCAGAAGACAAGCCTGCAGCCAGACTGGAGCCAGTCGGGTTGGGAGTAGGAGCTCTGGTTACAGGCAAATATTACCCCCCAGGTTGCTGCAGCCACTTCAACAGGAGCCTGGAGAGAGGCTCGGAAGGGCTTTGGGCAACAAAGGAGCTTTGTGCAGTGTGAGCAAGGGGCCTCCGAGAGGATTTGGCACAAGAGAGGTAGGAGAAAGGCCCGGGCCCCCTCATCTCTGTAGGCTGCTAAACAGGCGAGCTAATGGCTTCCATAGAAATGTGGAGTTTGCAGGTGGAGTCATTAACTTCAGAGCAACACACACCTTAGCAGGGCTTTAGTGAAGACTAAGTAGTTGTGTAGCTAGGGACACTTAGGCCCAGGGAGGAGAAGAAAGAAGCCTAAAGTCACACGGCTGGCAAGGGACAAAGCCCAAACCAAAACCAAATAGAGATCTTATGCCATCACTCCTCCGACCTGCCAAATATTGGAGGCTGGTTTGGATTATGGTTTTATTTGGAGGAAGTGGGTTCCTGTTAGGTTCAGAAATATATTCATCATAGAAACAATCCATGAAAAAAAAAAAAAACATGGCGGGAGGCCTTAGAGGAAATGGAAGGTCGGTGAAAGCTTGAGTATGGCGAAGGCCCTAAGGACTCCACGCCTGACCTGCTAGTTCCTATTCCCATAGTCTATATTTTCCACTCTTAGCTATATTTTGGCCTGAGATGATTTGCGGCAGTATGTTGGCTCTTTGAATTTAAATAACCATTGGTTTCATTTACCATCTATCAGGGAAAACACGACTAGTACCGTAAAGCCTAATAGAGGCTACTAGTTAGAGTGGCTTCGTTACTGAAAACAAGGCTGACCTAAAGAAGTAGACTGACTGACTACTCACGGCACAGGATGAAGTGGTGGGGCAAACTCAGAGGCTGCTTCATGGACCTGTGACGCTTAAGAACTGTGCAGGAAGTCTGCAGAAGGATGGTGATAGCAGGGGTCCTGGGCCGTCCCCCTGAGTGCAAGCAAGCTGGGCAACCTTCTTGCCCTTTGCTAAGGGAAGACCATAGCAAGAGATCTCATTAACTCTCATACCAAGTTTTCCTCTGCCCATGGAACAGAGGAAAGTAACTCTGTCTTAGAGAAATCTTTGATTGACTCACCCTAGTAAGATGATTATATATGCAAACCACAGGCCCCCGCCAGATTTGAGGCACTATCTTGATTTTTTTTTTGCCTCTAAAATGTGTCTGGTTGGTCCTCTCCTCCCCCACTCTGCTCTGCTGTGCCAACACTCAGGAGCACGTGGCTGTACTGCAATTTCTAGAAGGGAAGGATCTTTCTAAGGGTGGTTCCAGCAGAGGGGGTGGAGTCAAGACTGACCCCCAAACAAATGCTGATTCTACTGCCTGTGTTTCCTGCAGCCCCCCCCCTCCTCCTCTGGCACCATTTCCACAGGCCCCACTCCCCACCCTCCACACTAGCTATCAGCTCACGTTCTTCAATCCATCCAAACTCATTGAGGAACCACGAAGCTGGCAACATTGGTCACATCCAAGAGGATTTTTTGGGAATTGAGAGACAAGGGCAAGAAGATATTTGGGGTTTGTAAAACTTGAATTTCAAAACAAGAAGGCACTGCCTATTCAACAAAAATAATAGAAGTCTAGGTTTCTGCTAATTCTCTCAGAGAAATATCAGAAAAACTCCCTTTGCTCAGTCCTTTGACACTTTTTTGGGCTCAGGCTCTCAATATGTAAGTAGACCAGCCATCAGCCCTGGACCTCTGTCTCTGCTTCCTGAATGCTGAGATTGAGGTGGGAGCCACATGCCCGGCTCAGCATTTTGCGATTCTTGTGTCTGATCCTTGTGCGGAGATCATACTTATTTTCTCTAGCTTATTCCAGTTTTAGGATCCTTGCTACTGGTAAGCACAGGTCTGACATCTGTAATGCGCTATTTCTTCTGATCCATCTCAGTCTTGTGGAAGAAGTCCCATTTTACTGATGTGGATGGCACTCCAGGGATGAAGCAATTGACCAGGACTTACACAATAAGATCTGTAAGGAACTCTGGGCTCGTGCCTTGCTGCTGCAATTACCACATTCATCTAAACTCATAATTTCTGATGGCTTTTCCTTGACTTGACCTGAGAACATATGTTCTTAAATAGACATTTTCAAACTCGAAGCCAAACCAATAGTAGGAAGAGCCTTCCCATCTCAGCTTCATAGATGGCAGCCTCTCCTGCCACCCACTGAATGGCATTCCTCTCTCCTCTGGAGGCCACACGATACCCAACCTCCCAGGGCTCAGCACTGGCGAGTCAACTTTGTACAGATATTCTTTTTTTAACTCAGTATGTAGACATGATGACCTTGAACTCTGATCCCTCGGCTGGCCTTCTGAATACTGGCTTAGCCATCTGCCCCACCACACCCCATTTTTGCTGTGCTCCGGATTGAACCCGGAGCTTCACGCATGTTAGGCGAGCCCTCTACCAACTGAGCTGTATCTGTGGTTCCCCCTGACACCGAAATTCTAACGAGACAAGTGCATTTGTCTGGGATAGGGGGTCACTATTTCAGGGCCTGAGGGGTTTCTTTTAGCATGTGCAGCTGGTGTCTGGGAAATGGAGAAATTTGTCATTCCCTGAGTATGGGCAGCACCCGGAACTTGTGCTCTTGGAGGTCCCAGGCGCAGAGAAGGAACTGTACTCCACAAGAAGCCGTGGAATGATGGTGGGGGTTGAGAAGCAGATGCGGACTGTGTGCTTGTCAAAGCAATGTTTCTTCTTCAAAATAGGTCTCTCTCATCCGCTGTCATAGCAATGCAAATAAACACCCCACCCCGCCAGTTCTCCTTTTTAGCAACCGCCACCCAGGAACTCGGCTTCCTCTGGCGGAAAAGTCCTTGGGAAGTCAGCAAAAGCCCCCTCTGACTTCTGATAAGACTGCCTAAAGCAACTCCAACTGTCTTGTAAGGTTCCTAGGGTCCCTTCTAACACCTCCACAAGATGCCTCCTCACCTTGATTTTTAGCGTGACACTTTCTCGATGCTCTTCTGTTACGGTGGCCACCCCCACCTCCAACCCTAACTGGCACCCAGAAATGATATCCATTCAAGTCAGGAGCTCCTCTTGCTGAAAAAAAAAGTGAATGAATGGGAACGGCTGAGGCCTTGATGACCTCAGCAAACCTGGCCTAGGCTACGAGTTCTGGCGGTGACTGCAAACCCTTTTCTGGCTAGCATGCTACGTTCTCTTGTTTGCCAAAGCAGTCATCCCTCTGCAGACAGCTGTATTCTCTTCAGCACAGCGAAGCTGCTTGCAGACTCACATCCAAGACGACACCAGAGGGCAGAAGGCGGATAGGTGGTCAGACTCCAAGAGATTTGCCAGAGAGCAGAGGGAATTATTTAACTACACGCGCCCCCTTAGTATAATTAGTCCTGAGGTCTACCTCCTGGAACCCTTCCAGACATGAACCCCAAATACCAAGTCTCCTTCCTTCTACCTCGTCTTACCTCTGTCCCTTTCCTGACACTTTGTCCAGCCGTAGTACTCTTGCCAGGGGGAAGAAGGCATCTGAGAACAAGGGAAGCGCATGGGTGGCTGCCGCTTGCTGATAGCTCTGGAGGGAAATCCTCCCCTGGCTCACAGACAAGAACAAGACCTTCATCTGAGAATTAAAGAGGCGCAGCCCATAAGCCGGAGCCAGAAAGCAGAGCGGAAAGAGGCCAGGGTGTGCCCAGGGGAGGGAGACAGAGTGAATGTCTCCAGTTTTGCCCCTCAGCCACTACCTCCATTCCCTCAGCTAGCCCATACAGACGGCTGGCACGTTTCCTCTCGCTGTAAGTCATTTGTGAGGTGTAAGGTGCGTCTGGCATACTTACCGACATTCTTCCTCACCGGCAGCAACGGGAAGCACTGCAAAGGAAACAGAGAAGAAATCATGGCTTCGCAGGAAGAGCATGTCAAAATCGAAAGTGGGCCAGTGAGATGGCTAAGCTGGCAAAGAGCTTGCTGCCAAGCCTGACGACTCGAGTTTGATTCCCAGAACCGTCACAGTAGACGGAAAGAACAAATTCCTGCAAGTTGTCCTCTGATCGTCCTATCTGTGTCGTCGCACATATGAGTGTGTGTGCATACACACACTGTACACGCACAAGAAATAAACATATATTAAAAAAACTGAAAGGGCTCTTTAAACTAAGCAAGTGCCGTCGAGCCATTTTGTGGAAGGACATATTGAGGCCCCCAGAAGAGAAAGAGAAAGTAAGAAGAAAAGTGGAGCCTACAATCCCAGACTCCTCTACCTACTCCACACGACTTCCCCTACTCCACTGAGTAATTCTTCTGATTCACTTTTGTCTTACAGAAAGAAGAGTGCCCCATGTAGTTCATGGTACAGTTTTAATGCCTGATGACACAGATTGTCAAAGAATTAGGAAGCATCTATTTGGCACAGATGTTGAACGCTGGGCAGGCTAGAAGTAAAGTTATTTGGTGGGAATAGAAATACTTAGAACTGGAAAGGCCAAGCTGAGGGCAGCCCTCCTTTCTTTGTGTGACACCAAGTAATGCTCACAATCTCTTGAGTATTCATTTCTGAATACTTCGGAGCAGGAGAGTAAAAATCCTGCCCTGACAGGTTTTGTGGGGAAAAAAAAACAGATATAAAAATGTTTTTCCCACCGGACAGAAATCTCAAGGTCCAAATCAGGAGCAGAAGGAGAGAGAACATGAGCAAGGGACTCAGGACCACGAGGGGTGCACCCACACACTGAGATAATGGGGATGTTCTATCGGGAACTCACCAAGGCCAGCTGGACTGGGTCTGAAAAAGCCTGGGATAAAACCGGACTTGCTGAACATAGCGGACAATGAGGACTACTGAGAACTCAAGAACAATGGCAATGGGTTTTTGATCCTACTGCACGTACTGGCTTTGTGGGAGCCTAGGCAGTTTGGATGCTCACCTTATTAGACCTGGATGGAGGTGGGGTTCCTTGGACTTCCCACAGGGCAGGGAACCCTGATTGCTCTTTGGACTGACGAGGGAGGGGGACTTGATCAGGGGAGGGGGAGGGAAATGGGAGGCGGTGGCGGGGAAGAGACAGAAATCTTTAATAAATAAATAAATTTTTTAAAAAAAGTTTTTCCATATGTAAAAAATACTTTGTGAATTCATCCAGCAAATATTTACAGAACACACCATACTGGGTGTTAAGAGTATAATTGCCCTCTAGACAAACGAGGTCCAATGGCAGACACTTCTTAGTGGTAGGTGACAATCAATAAGGAAAGAAACAAGGACATTTCAGGCATCACAAGCTCCAAGGAGAAACAAAAACCAACCAACCAAACAAACAAACAAAAAACCCACAAGCTACAGCGTGACAGGAAAGTGAGTAGGGAGACAGATATGCGGGGTGCCTCTCCCTCCCTGGAGCTGAACTTTGAGCAGTGACCTGGGTGATAAGGAATTTTCTATGTGAGAATCCGAAGAGACAGAGAGGTAACAGCCAAAAATCCACAGGGCTTTGAAAGGCACAAGTAGGTGGCGGTTGGGGAGCAAAGAGTGCACTGATAAGATCTGACTGCTGCCTTAAAAGGCTCATTTGGGCTGCTGCACAAGGAGTGGGTCGCAGAGCCATGATGGAAGCAGGGAGAGCTACCAGAAGGCTTTTGCAGGTTTCCAGGCAAACAATGTCAGAAGCTTGGGCTAAAATGATAGTAATCAAGCTGTTCAGGAAAGAAAAAAAGGAAGGAAGGAAGGAAGGAAGGTTTATTTCTCAGAGATAGCATCTTCTTGCTTGTTGTGTCCTTCATGCAACCTGAAATCCACCCCAAGGTTATCAGGAAAGGGGCTGTCTGTGTAGGTGCCTGTCTCTTACCCTCAGGACAATGATGAGCACATCTGATACGCTTAGGCCCAGTGATTCCCAACGCTAGGAAGACCTGCCTCCATCTTAGCTCACCCTGGAATGGCTCCAGGTCAAGTCTGTCCTTGAAGAGCACATTTGTCAACAGAAAAAGGAGCAGATTGGAAGCATATCTATTTTAGTGTTCACTGGTAAGTCCGTGGAGGATGTTAGTGAGATAGACAGAAAGTTCTAGAATCAGAGAAACATGCTCAGAGAGGTAGAGCTACGGAAGTCTCCTGAGAAGTTACAAAATGGAACATATAAGGGAGCCAATATAATGCTCACTGGTGGGCAAAAGGGAACAGAAGAACAAGAAAGTGAAGGGGTGGGATTAAAGGACAAAGCAGCGCCTTGTGGGGTCCAAAATGTGACAGTTCTGGGAACGCAGGAAATGCACTAGCAGTCAGCAAAGACGAGCACTCTGCAGTCCTATCCTAGTCTATTAAATCCCTTCTCGCCGATCCTACTACCAGCCCAATTCATCACGGGTATAATAAAATCAAAGTTTGTTCAAAAGATAATTGGAGAAGGGCCTGGAGGTACAGACCTATAAAACTAGCTCTTCAGAAGGCCAAGACAGGAACACGTTCAGTGCCTACCTGTGCTAGGAGTGACTTCAAGGTTAGCCTGAGCTATGTAGTGAGACCCTGTCCCAAAATAAAAACATTGAAAAGAGAGGGTTTGGGATACAGTGCTCTCCACCCCTGGCCCTCCCCAGTCCCCCAGACTTGGTGTCCTGTGGTTCAGGCTGGTTTCACATCCGTGATTCTTCTACCTTCACTAGTGAATCCCTTGGATACCAGGCCACCACATCTACCCCCCACTTTATGTTTGCCCTCGATCCTGATGTTAAGCTCTGTAGAAGAAGATGGGGCACGAACATCTGCATGCTGGGGTGGTAAGCTACAGTGGAACTTCTTCCTGGCTCCAGGTCACAGAGCATATTCCTGCCAGATCTGGGAGACCTGAACCCAAGAACCATAAGGGCGACATTGATAAAAGACAGTCACTCTGATCTGGAAGAGGTGGTGGACACCTAGAAATCCAGCAGTCTGGAGACTGATCAGCAGACTTGCAAGGTTGAGGCTAGCCTGGGTACACGGTAAGACCCCTAAAGCAGGAAAGAAGTGAAAAGGGCAAAGATTAGCAGCGACAGCATCTTACTCAGTGAGCCATTGGTTCATAACGTGTGTATTCATTTCTTCATTCATTCCCTAAGTGTCCGCTCAGGACTAGGCCCTGTGCTGGGTACTCAGGGACTGATACAAATCAGACAGGTTTCCTCCTTGCCTGTGAATTCAAGCTACATGGGGAAGCTGTCGCATGTTGAGACGAGAGCAAGCCCCTTTGCTGCTGTAAAGCACGTGCTTTCTGGACAGAGCCGAGGGAGTCATTTGTTGGTGTTGGGAGTGGGAGGGTGCTTTCTCGTAAGGCTCTTTTCAAAGCACTTGGCCCGGGTCTTGAAGGCAGATAAGGGGGTGAAAAAGCCAGACAGTCAAAAGGAAGAGCATTAAAAAATGGCAAGCACGGAACCAAACAGGTTGTCTGAGAATGCCTGTGGTCTGGCTGGGGAGTGGAGTATCAGATGTGACCAGATCAGCCGATAGGGCCCCATCACAAAGGTCCATGACAGTCTGGGAAGCCTTTGAAAACAAAGGAAGAGCACACTTACATTCATGCTGTAATTGGCTGTTGTTATGTGGTTGGTTTGGTCTGCTTTGTTTTGTTTAGTTTGGGGCACTTGGCACACTTTATTAACATCATTAGCCATCAGAGAAATACAAAAAAAAGTCAAGATTTTGTTTCACCCCAACTGTCAAGAAAACAAACACTAGCAAGGACAGGGAAAGGGTCCCTTAGACACTGATGGTGGGGATATAAGCTATGCCAACCACATGCAAATCAATGTAGAGTAAAATTGATTCATCATATGACCCAGCTAATCCACTCCCAAATATTATATGTAATTTATCCTTTGTGTTTTTCACATCATGCTTCCCTATCCCACCCATCCTCCTCCCGGCCCCCAGAATAAAACAAAATAAAAATTTAAGAGAAAACCAAAGGGAGAAAGGTAGAATCTGCTCATGGAAGCTGCTATGTGACACAGTGAGTCACGCAGTAAACCCGCTTAGCCATACACTTTTAGACACAGGTATTCATCGCAAAGATTCATTGTTCAGGTTCAAGGTCCCTGGTCTATGCTACACTATCGATGCTGGGCCCTTACTGGGACTCTTCCTGGATATCCTGCCCTGTGTTTTGGAGATCCTGTAGCCCTGGGTCCACAGGATCAATGGCATCCCCAGTCCCCACCCTCGTGCTTCAACAAGTCATAGGTGGAGGGTATGTTGGGGTGGATCAACCCACAACCCTGGTTCTGGGCCTGGGTAGTCGGCCTGCCAGTTCTCCCCTGTCCTCACCACCAGGGTGAGCTCTTCACCACTGCCCTTGCTAGTTCACCCTTGCCGCAGTGAGCAGGGAGTGCGGCCAGTTCTCCACTTTCCCATCCTCAGGGTTCTCGCATAGCAGGGCCCTGCGCTACTGTGTTGCCCAGGCAACGTTTATAGACTCTCCTGCTCTTATGACATCACAGCCAGCTCCTCCACCTGCCTCAGGTACTGATGGGGAGGGGGCAGTCCAGGGGACATCTCTTCCCTTCCCATGCTACGAAATGACAGATGAGTAATGGGGACAGCTCTCCCATGCTCACAGATTCCTCTGGCCTCACCCACACCTCTGCCCTCAGCGTCAGCTCTGCTGTGCTGCCCAGGCAACGTGCAGGGTCCATTTTCCTGAGTGCTGCAGCGGATAGGTGAGAGAGTCAGCTTGCTTGTCTGTCACAGGGAAGGAAGGGGTGAGGAGTAAGGGGGTGCATCTCTCCCCCACCCACACCGTCGCATAACAGATGAATAGCGGGGACAGCTCTCCCATACTCACAACTTCCAGGCTGGCTCACCCACACTGTCGCTAACAGGTTTGGCTCTATCGTGCTGCCCG